TGCACCGGGCCTCTAGTCCTATATAATAAAAGCCTAATATGCTAAGTGTCTGGTCGTCCGTTCAACCAATCAAAGCGTAATATGCTAATGATATGCTAAGGTTGCTCAACTGCTTGCTATGATGTGCACTGACCACCAGGGGGCAGATGCTCTGACTGGTACATTAGCTTGCTGCTGGGGTCCAGCCTATTGGGACTGAGTGAGACAGGCTGGACATGCCCTGGAGCCCTCCCACAGCCCCTCCCCGGCTCGCCAACCTCCACATCCCTCCCCGGCCGATCGTGCACCGCTGGGGTCCCTCTCACAATCCAGGACCCCTCGGGGGATGTCGGAGAGCTGGTTTCAGCCCAATCCCGCAGGCCAGCCGAGGGACCCCACTGGTGCACGAATTCGTGCAGTGGGCCTCTGGTCTTTAGTGATGCTTTTCATCTTAGAGTCTGTTTCCTGGGAAGTGCGCTGACACCATCCCCACCTCCCCACCTTTGGTTAATGTTTGCATAGAATGTCTCTTTCCGTGTTTTCGCTTTCCCTCTTCCTTCATCATATTTCCAATGTGGCTCTTTTTAGTAACGTGTGGTCAGGGTTTGTAAGACCCAGTCTGATGTCCTGTCCTTTAGACGAGCTTAGACCCCACATTTCATAAGGCAGCTGGGTGTGGCTGTGCTGTCACCATTCGCTTCCTGTAACTTCCCTGCTCTGTTCTTCCTTTTTTTTTCATTGCCTTTTTTTGGTTTTTCTTTTCTTTTTCCTTTTTAATCCTTACCCAAGGATATGTTTTTATTGTTTTTTTTTAGAGAGGAAGGGAGAGAGAGAGAGAGAGAGAAAACATTGATGTGAGAGACATCATTGGTTGCCTCCCATGTGCACCCTAACTGGGGATCAAACCTGCAACCTTTTGATGTCTGGGATTGCTCCAACCAACTGAGCCACACCAACCAGGGCTGGATTGATTAAAAAAACATTTTTTACATTGATTTCAGAGAGGAAGGGAGAGGGAGAGATAGAAACATTAATGATGAGGTAATCATTGATCAGCTGCCTCCTGCACACCCCACACTGGGGATCGAGCCTGCAACCCGGGCCTGTGCCCTGACCAGGAATCAAACCATGACCTCCTGGTTCATAGGTCGACGCTCAACCACTGAGCCAGGCCACTGGGCTTTGCCAACACTTCTCCTGTCTTCTCTCTGGGGATGTGCTGGTCACAGTCCTCCCTCGGAAAGCCTGCCTCTGGGAACGGCAGGGCCCCAGCTTGTGCGGCTGCCTCCCAGGCCCTCTGTGGTCCTC